AAACTAAGACTTTTTGAGGGGTAAAAAACCATCCTCCTGATTAATATCAACCATTTATGAAAATGAAGTAAGTTGTCTTAAAATGACATTTTGAGGACATGGTCATTAACTGTGTGTCAGTCATCTTCTAGGTCAACACTCCTCTTTACCCCCTTTTTGCAGTACTGTCACCTGGCTCTCCTCCCTCTCTTGCTTCAGGAAGTGAAGGGCCTTACCTTGCTCAGCCAGGTAAAGGGAAGCAGCAGTACAAACTACTCGTTTAGTTGCAAAAATGCAAACAGCATCGTAGGAGAAACTCTTTGTGCTTTCACACAGCCCACACAAGCATTAGCTTAAAATATCACTGAAATGTATTTTTCAGTGTCACTTGCTGTTTATTCTGCTTAATGATCCTTTTTTTCCCTGTGTGTGTGCACAGAATTTCAATACTGCTTTAGAAACAGATGATGATGGGAATATGCAGTTTAGTGGCTACAGTTATTAGGCTAATAAACAATGTCCTGCTTTGAATCTATAACTGCCTTGCTTATGAACAGATATAAAGGTATTAGTAATAATTTAGGCAGATAAACACACTTGAATTAAAGCTGTTGTACAATAACATTCCTCCAACACACAAATACAAGCAACCTACAAGATCTCACTCACTTTCACAAACTACTTTGCAATGAAATGCTGTAGCTAACAAAAATCAAATGAAATATATCAAATGACATACACAGAAATGCTAAAGGACTTCTCCAGAATACACGGCGAGCACGCAGAGCCTCAAATCATCACACCCTTAGTTTAACACATTTCACATGGCTTACTACCATCTACAGATAGCACAGGAAAAAAACCCAGTCCTTAATAAATGATATGGTTAATCAGGCAATTACAATTATAAGTACTTGAAAAATGAAACTAAAATTAAGAGCAATAGAGACCCATACTATTACGGTCATTGACACTGAAACCACCAAAATTATTTGTTTGTGATGTTATCTTCAGGTGGTATTTCATAATTTCCTTCACTACTTCCAATGAACCAAGCTGTTAGTGAGCCAGAGTCTGGTACTGCTGGAGGTTAATTCTAGAATGGTTTAGCTTGGAAGGGACCTTAAAGCTCATCCAGTTCCAATCCCCTGACACAGACAGTGACACCTCCCACTAGAGCAGCTTGCTCCAAGCCCCTGTGTCCAACCTGCCCTTGAACACTGCCAGGGATGGGGCAGCCACAGCTTCCCTGGGCACCCTGTGCCAGCGCCTCAGCACCCTCACAGGGAAGAGCTTCTGCCTAAGAGCTCATCTCAGTCTCCCCTCTGGCAGGTTCAAGCCATTCCCCTTGGCCTGTCCCTACAGGCCCTTGTCCAAAGCCCCTCTCCAGGTTTCTTGTAGCCCTTTTAGGCACTAGGAGCTGCTCCAAGGTCTCCAGGCAGAACCAGTCCACCTCTCTCAGCCTGTCTCCAGAGCAGAAGTGTTCTGGCCTTCAGAGCATTTTCCTAGCCTCCTCTGGACATGCTGCAACAGCTCCATGTCCTTCTTATGTTGGGGGCCACTGGGAATACAGCTAGAGTTCTGTCATTTTTTTCCAGAGCCAGGGTTGTTAATAATTCAGGAGCACAGAGCTGAAATAGAATGCATTGCACTGGGGATAACCTTGACCCCTATTTTTTCCATCTTACAAAGGCACAAGGGAGCACCCAAAGTTGTTGCCCCTTGATGTCTCCACGGGGGGGGGGGGGTGTGGGGGTGTGGAAGTGTGGCTTTGTTTTATCACTCCTTATACAGACAGAAAATAAGGTGCAACTTCCCTAAAAGCTTTCAGGTGGGATAGTAGTTTAAAGCATCCAGTAAGCATGACAGGGCTAACGGTCACTTCTGCAAAACAGAGGCCCCTGCCTCCCACAGGATTCCACGGGCAGTGCATGACACTTGGCTTCATCCAGAGGTCAGTTCTCCCTAGCTCAGAAGCTGCTGGAGACAAAATCACTGCCCGGCCTCGGGCGAAGCAGCCTGCAGTACACCACCTGCAGGAACACATCACGATTTTTGTCTCACAGTGTTTCACTGCATCCCACAGAAGGATTACTGTTGCCATGTAAAAATATGTTCTCTCGCACATTGCCAATCTGTCACAAAAATCCCTTCCTGACTAGAACAAGCAAGCAAATAGAACCAAGGTGAGAAGGAAAGCCACAAGTTTCAGTACTTAACCAACTTTTATGCTCAATTTTATTTCTATTAGCTTGACTGCTATTGTTGCCTAGCGAAAAGCCATGCACTGATTGATTGTAAGTGTTGCCTGGTAATAATCTCTCAGCAAGAAAAGGGAAAGCCTTTGTGTGGTGATGACTGAGCTGAATGCAGCAACAGGTCTGGAGGAGACACCTAGAAATATCCAGCTATTTCCCTGTTCTTGTTGGAAAATAATCTCTTGGATACAGATGCCATGTTTGTAAAGAAGCTTAGAGGGTGGAGAAGGGGGGCTAGCTCCACTAACACACTGTAACAAGTAACACACATTCCCTAAGCACTTCCAAGTGGTTTCACAGCTCAGTCTCTTCAAAACTAAGCAATAAGGTTGGTGTGTGTCATGTCGTCGTGTCATGTGTCGTTCCCCTCCCCCTTGGTTTGCTTAAACATCAGTATTTTCGGTCAGAATCCAGAGGAGGCTTTCCAGGAGGTAATTCGGTCCGATACAGAAACAGAGGACATCTGGTGGTGTTTAGCTGCCAGTGTATACTAACAGCAAGGCAATTCGAGTGTGTATGCAGCTGCACCAGCAGCAATTCACATAAGCCACGCTTTAAATAAAACTAGTAATAAAAAGTTACATAGAACTTAACATAACTGCAGAAACAGAGTGAAATTTCTAATGACCAATATAAAAGAGTTTCTGATTCCAGCTGCTGCTACTACCATACAAAAATTACTCTATGAAGAGTTACACTGGTTACACATAAGGAGTAGCTTCTCTATGACTGTAAGAGGCTGCCACTTCCAACAGACACATGCTATGGTAAAGCAGGAGATACTCCTCACTACTGAAATACTAGGGGATGCAAAGTTGTCAGTTTTGATGGTGGAATCTCCATGGAAGCAAGAGCAGGGAAAGAACCACATGAGCTTACTCTCAGGAAGCAATACCACCACAAGTGAGGTGCGTATCATCACCCAAACCACAGCATTTTTGACACTGGGGGAAAGAGCCACTGGTCTACACACAGGTGCACAGGGGAACTGAGCCCAGTTCCAAACTGCCACATCAGCTCCTGGATGGACAGACCATAAGCATTCCGATTTCCATGTCCTTAGTGAAAATTGTCATTTTTAGCTGAAGATGCTGCCATTAGGGTGACTCTGAAGATCCAACACTGAGACTTTCTGTAACATGATGCTTAGCATACGCTTTGAGTGGCATAAACCACTTAGACTTCAGACACTGAACAAAGTCAACCTCTGTGAGACTCCTTCACTCTAAGAAGCTAGAGAACATAGTGGCAAAGTAGGAACGAGGCCCACACTTGCAGATAAGCTTTCTAGTTACATGGGGGCCGTTCAAAGTACGTGTTTTATTGCTAGTGGCAAAACCAAATACAGGCTTAAGATCAGACTCCTGTCGTGCTCTCTCATGAGAAATATACTGCAATAAGTATTCAAACATACTTGACTGAAAAAAAGAAGAAATGAAAGCAGAAGACAGCCGTGTGACATACAGAATATTGTATCCCTCCTTACATAACTTTAATGCATGGAATCAATCACAGCCAAGACTCTAAGCATGAAAATCTCATTAAAAAAAAACAAACAAATCCCAAGTACTTGTATCTTTTGAACCAACACTGGCAAAAGAAGAAGAAATCTCATAATCTCTTGCTTGTACCAGCGCAAGCATGTGTGGTAAAGCACACTGGTGACCTGCTTAAAACTAGACTACTTAGAAAGATTAGTTTTAAGCTACATCAGTTCCCCAATCTGTTCTGATATGCAGCCACAAAACCACCTACACTGATACAAGCAGCTAGAAGAAAACTGCTCCCTTCAACAGCAGTGCTGGCTGAAAGTGTAAATGAAACTTAAGACCTTCTGGTGTTTATAGATTTTCTTACTAAAGTTAGCAAAGCAAAAGTTAGACTGAAAAACAGATTAGAGACCAAGTTCAAAATCAGCATGAGACATAAGATAACTTTACAGGAACTTTCAGGTAAGCTCTTTAGAGCCTCTCAAACTTTTGTCCCAGATCACAAGCTATTTATTAGTCTCAAAACTAACTGCACTATTGGAAACAAACCCAATTGAAACATCAGTTATAGATACAACAAAAACCTTCTGATACCACCTAAAATACCTTAGAGCCAGCTAAGGAAATAAACCAACGAACACATTTCCAGACAAGTCAGAAGATCAGGGCTTTAAGTTACACCAGTAAAATCCATCTTGAAAACCTCAAAAAGAAGTTTTGAGCTGGTGAGTTAAAGATTGAGATGGACAACTCCACAATACTGCAACAACATTGTTCCCTAGATTTTCTTTAATACACAAATATTCAAGCAAAAGTGCTCCAGATGTCATTCCCCCTCAAGAGCTTGCTTTGTTACCTTAAGTATCAGACAACAGTATAACTTCCTTCTGAAAAGATACCAGTCCATTCATTTTCAAGCCAGCTTTACTTATTAGAGTAAGTGCATCCTAGGTCAATACCACCCATTAAAATATACTTAACGACCTTTTCCTTTTGTTTTGATTTCATGAAATTAAGCTTACATTAAGAAGATAGAATAAAAGATACCTATTTTTCAGAGCTCAGGGTTTAAGACTCCCAAGCAAATAAGCATTGTAAACTCAGTAACTTCTCAGAAGCATGACATTCTTTTACTTAGCTCTGACCAACTTTCATTTAGTTAAGCTCCTGGATACAATTTAAAGGCATGCTAAGATGGGGGTGTGTGTGTGTGCATGTCTTCCTTATTAACTAATAATTTATAACATCTTATCTCTATTAAACATATTTATACCTTCTCTTTACTCATGCTTTCCTCCAGATGATTCTAATGGTGTCATTGTTGTTCTGCTCTCTTCTGATCTCCAATAAAGCCAGTGATGGAGAATTACAGATCTCTTCTTTTCTTGAGTTTGCAGGTAGCTGTAAAGAAGGTAAATAGAGTTTGGAAAATAAACTTCCTTAGTGAGTGAGTGTAGATATTTTGAAAGCTTTCCCACTAAGCTTTCTAAGTGGTGATAGAAAGAATTAGCTGAGCAATACCAGCTACCAGCAGCACCTTTCTTTGTCAGCTACCAAATCAGATTATTTGCTAACCACAACTTGTCTGCTGAGCATAGAACTTGTCATTTATAGCAGCCTGCAGCAAACACAGCCCCACGACTCTTCTAAATTTCAACAAATATACTAAAAAAAAATGGAACATGTAGTAAAATTGTTCACACTGGTGCTTAAGAAAGTGTTAAATAACTAGTTAAAAAAAAAAAAAGCTATATAAAGCCCATACTAACATGGGTGAAGCGTTGTGCCACAACATTTTAGTCAGAACAAATATCAGCTATTCCCCCCCAAATGTTTCTTTGGCTGCTTCCATAAGTTGTGCTTTATAATTAGATCCTCCTCTCAAAAGTAAAGCAAAACCTTTTGCTAATCTAAGCGATACAATGGAATTTTGAATGTGAACTCAACAAATCTACTGCTCTTTATATTGTGTGCCATGAAGTATTTAAAACACAAATATTAAATATAATTAATATAAAGTAGTATGTTAATATAATAGAATCCCAGACTTGTTTTGGTTGGACCTTAAAGTTCATTCAGCTCCAACCCCTGCCACAGGCAGGGACTCCTTCCACTAGAGCAGCTTGCTCCAAGCCCCTGTGTCCAACCTGGCCTTGAACACTGCCAGGGATGGGGCAGCCACAGCTTCTCTGGGCACCCTGTGCCAGCGCCTCAGCACCCTCACAGGGAAGAGCTTCTGCCTAAGAGCTCATCTCAGTCTCCCCTCTGGCAGGTTAAAGCCATTCCTTCTTGTCCTATCACTACATGCCCTTGTAAATATTCCTCTCCAGATTTCTTGCAGGCCCCCTTTAGGCGTTGGAAAGCTGCTATGAGATCTCCAGCATCTGTTCTCCAGCCTGAATGTAATTAATGATATACTATTAATACAATAATAATAATAGTAATAACCAGTGCAGAGACACTACTACACAACATACAATCTAGTGGAAAGCAAGTGTCTCCAAACTCCAGCCATAGTTGGACCTTTGGGAGCTTAGTATTCAGAACAGTTCAGTTACTTACAATGGATTTCTAATTAACACATGATTATTTTCCACAATTTATTTCTAATAGAACACATTCCTTTCAGTATACTACAGTTTTTCCTCTGCAAGTGAGTATTTTGGGGGGAGACTTCAGAAGGAAAGGTCTGGTTCTCTGGGGAATTTGGAGAAGAAAAGCTCAGAAGTGCAAGATGTGATGCAGTTGTATGATGGCACCCACCTCACACAGTTCTGTATTATTTGCCAGCAGTAACAAGGATTGTTCTCCTGCCTCAGATACTCCTTTCCAATATGGCCAGGCTCACACAGAAGCTAATTTATCATATGCTACTTTATCATCACAAAAACACTGGTATTGACGGAGACTTCACTATGCATATCTAACTGTGTTTTCTGCAACAGATCCTTTCCTATGTTGGTTTTAAGCAGACATTACGAGTCCAGTGATGTCTAAAGAGCTAACTGTGTTTGAAGTTTAGGTTGGCAATGCCTCAGACTGGATGTGGCCTGGCAGAGCAGCATACAGCATAAAGAACGCTATAAAACCAAGGAAGAGAAAATATGACCCTTAGAAAGACAGATGCAGAAAACCATAAAATCATGTGGAAACTAACAGTCTTGTGAGCCATTTTTACTCATTTATAGTCTTCTTTGTTTCAGATGTGTTTATTGGGTAGGACTTGTAAAGAGAGGCAGCCTCAGCACGAGGAGAGTGTGAGACAACCGTGAGCACAAATGCGATGATTAAAGGCTGTGGGCTGTGTTCAGAGGATGGGCGATGTGTGAAGGAATACAAAGCTGGTGACAGCTCCTGAGGGAAGCCTCGGTGCAAAATATGAGGGGAAAAAAAAACACCCCAACCCACAAAAAAAAAAGAGGGAAAATGATCGAAGAATGGGCACAGAACTGCAGTGACCTAAAGAGAGTAAACTGGAATATGGATGGGGGAGGGAAGACTAGGAAAGTTAAACCCATTTGATGAATACCAAAGGAGGACATGGAGTTGCTGAAGCGAGTCCAGAGGAGGCCACGAGGATGATCAGGGCTGGAGCACCTCCCGTATGAAGACAGGCTGAGGAAGTTGGGGCTGTTCAGCCTGGAGAAGAGAAGGCTGCGTGGAGACCTCATAGCAGCCTTCCAGTATCTGAAGGGGGCCTATAGGGATGCTGGGGAGGGACTCTTCATTAGGGACTGTAGGGACAGGCCAAGGGGAATGGCTTTAACCTGCCAGAGGGGAGACTGAGATGAGCTCTTAGGCAGAAGCTCTTCCCTGTGAGGGTGCTGAGGCGCTGGCACAGGGTGCCCAGAGAAGCTGTGGCTGCCCCATCCCTGGCAGTGTTCAAGGCCAGGTTGGACACAGGGGCTTGGAGCAAGCTGCTCTAGTGGAAGGGGTCCCTGCCTGTGGCAGGGGGTGGAGCTGGAGGAGCTTTAAGGTCCCTTCCAGCACAAACCAGGCTGGGATTCTATGGTGCTATCAATATCACTTGGCTCAGCCTACCGGGCCCTCCTGGCTCGGGCAGGACAGCGCAGCCTCCGCAGGAACCCGACCTGAGACACATCGGAGCCCTCCCCCTGACCCCCCAAGGGGCCTGGCCGGCGGCACCGCACCGCCCGCCGCTGGGGGAGGCCGCAGATACCGGCCTCGCTGCAGGAGGCTCCGGCGCCGGCCGGCAGGGGGCGCTGTGTGCCGGCGGCGCCACCACCCTCTGCCGGCTGCGGCCGCGCTTCCCCGCGGCGCCGCTGTCTCAGTGGGTAGGCGGAGAGCCGCGGGCCGGGCCGGGCCGGGCCTTGCGCCGCGCTATGGCGCTGCCGGCGCTGTCGAGCTCGGGGGTGAAGTTCCGGCGGGTCCTGGCGCACTTCCCTCAGGAGCTCAGCCTGGCCTTCGCGTACGGGTCTGGGGTGTTCCGGCAGGCGGGGGACAAGGCCGGGCCCGGCGAGGTGAGCGCGGCGGCCTCCCCCGGGCCGGCCCCGTGGCTCTCCCCAAGCCCTGGCGTGTGGCGGGGGGGGGGGTGGTGGGACACGCTCTGGGCCTGAAGTGGCGGCGGGACCTCCGGGCCCCTGAGCGGGGGCGGTAGCGCCGGAGCGTGGTTCAGGGCCCTCCAGCCCTGTGTGCGCCGGCGTTGGGCCGCCCCGCTGCGGGTTAGAGCGAGTTACGGCTTGGCTGGGCACCGCGTGCTGGTCACCAGCGGAACACGCTGCAAGGGGCGTGCTTGGCGCTGCCTCAGCGTTTGGGGTCGGGTTGCTCGGAGATAGTGATTTGATTTTATTATGTGACCTTTTAAAACTCGTTAATCAGCAGCATTGCTCGTTATAGCTGCCTCTTAAGCAACTCCCCGCAGACGTGGTTTCAAATGTGCCTGATTTTCCTTTCTGAAAAGAGGAAAACAGATGATAATAAGACTGTCAGAGCTCTAACAGCATCCCGTCCTCCCACGAAAGAATGTGTTGGGGTAAAGAAGCAAACAGACTGTCTTTTTAGTAGTATTAACTGATGAGCTGAGGTGCTGCCTGGCATCAGTAGACCACAGAGAGAGGCAGGACTAATGAATGTGAAGCAGTGTCGTTGTAAGTATTACTGTTGTGCAGGCGTATGTCGTAAACTTCCATCTGCGGTGTCTGTAGGAGTTTGTGTGGACTGACTCCTTCAGAAGAGCAGTGCACATCTTGTACCTTACAAACCTTTGGGGCTTGGATTGTTCTATCGACAAAGGAAATGAATGTACCTGAAGTGCGGTTTCTTGCTCAGATGCCTTTACCCACCCACACCTCCCTGTTCACAGCCTTGTGTATCAGCAAAAGTCCTGTTTGTTGGCAGCCTAAGCTGTTAGCTGAGCTGGGAACTGGGATGATGCAGATCCTCTCACCTGCTCCCTTGTTTTGAAGGGTTGAAGGTTGGTCCCTTGACCAGGAGAACAGGAATATTTAGTCCATCACTGCTAGGCTGGTTAGAAAACATGTAACTTCATCAGAACTTTAACCTGGATCTGACACTAACATGTGGTTTGGATTTATTACAGTTTTACTCAGGTGGAAAATAATTAGCTGGAAGTTCGATACTGTGTATACCTTAGATCAATATGGTTACTACTGGTTGCTTCCTGACACAAAAACCCCAACACTTCTCTCCTTATCCACAGAACAACATGCTGGACTTTGTGTTTGCTGTTGATGATGCTGTGACGTGGCATATGATGAACTTAACAAAGAACAGGAGTCATTATTCCTTCCTAAAACTTTTGGGGCCAAAACAGATAAACAGTGTGCAGAATTACGGAGCAGGGATTTACTACAATACGTTAGTGCCATGTAATGGTAGGGTAAGTACAAGTAGTTTGAGTAAGTGAAGTCAAATTTTTCTGTGTGAAGTATTGAAATGATGAGCTTAAAGTAGATTTCTGTGCAGGAAGTGAATCTTGTGGATTGTGACTGATTCATAACTCGTATCTACAGTATTTATGTCTCAAAACCTTCACAAACAGCATATTAATTACAAAGCAAACAGAGCAGCTGCTCTTGCACTTTAAAAATGCGAGCAATGTTTGTATTTTCAAACTAAAGCACTACAGAAAGTGGTTTTATATTCCTTATTACTTGCTGTCTGGCAGCTTTGGTGGTTGTAAAGTGTATTGTGGGGAAATGGGGCCTTAATTTTAGCAGTTGGGCATGTAATAATTGCCAAGTGGATTCTTACTGTTCGACATAAAATGAAAGTATTTATCATAGCAAGTTGAAATTTACATCTGTGTTTAATGGCTCAGGTCCTGACCTGTGAAGCTTGGGTATGATTAATAATTCTAGGTAAATAGTACTTGTTCAGCAAGTCCTACTCCTGCATCTACTTGTAGGCTGTGTTTGGTAAGGAGAAGTGCAGATAGGAGTCAGAGGAGGGATACGCTGCATCTGTCAATCTTGGTGTTGATTCTGAGTAACTTTTGCCCTGTGGTAACAAACTGTACATAGGGAAAGCAAGTTCTTTTAAGACAGATGGGAAATTAAAAGAAATGAAGGACAGGCATGGAAAAATGCCATATGAGCAATATATACCTAATGGAAGTTTCTCGGGACATGCATGATTGCAATAATGTTGGATATATGTCAGAATTCTTCCTAGAAAGTTGGAGAGTTAGATGAAGTAGTCTTTTACATACTTGCTATTTTGGTTAAAGGCATCTGTATGAGGCAAGAATTTGGGGTTTAAACCTTATTCGTTTGGTGTAAAAAGGGATTTTAGTTTTAAGAACCAGGGATCTTTGCTATGAAATTCTGTCCTTGGCTCTATGCCCTTAATCGTACAGTAATGACCTGTCATATCACTGTGTATGAACCTCTTTTATCCAGAAATTCTGGAGCTGGCTACCTTGGTGTGGTGATAATATTTGGGAACATAAATCGGTAACAAGCTGTTGAAAGTTCATCTTTTTCCAGTTACATAAAATAAGCTACAAAATCACAGTTCGTTTTCTAACATCAAAGAGCAAAAGAGAAAACTCCCTGCTACACACTGCACCACCACCACCCCCCCCCCCAACAGTACACAGAAATGTGTAGGGGTTTTGCTTCTTTTAGGTCTCTGACAAACTATTTCTTGAGAGCTTTCAATATCATGAAGGATACTGTGGATCATATTGTATCATTTGACTGGTAGAAAACTGATTGTAACCTTTCCAAAATCTTCTCATAAACAGTTGTATCTCAGTGATCAGATCTGTTCTGTTTTAATGTCTGTCTAGACTAGGTTTCTTTGGGATTTGAAGTCTTTTGCTGTAGTGATTGATTCTGGAGTGACTTTATTGTAACTTTGATTCTAGAAAGGATCTGAAAGAGTTTTGTGCATTCCACTTTTTTTTCCCCCATAAGTTTGCATGTAAATAGCACTTTTTTTGTTTCCTGTGTTCATAAAACCATAAATATGATTTCTTGTTGTGCATCCAGTTTTTTATTGGAGGTGTGTGTTCCTTAGAATTAATGATAGTTCCAGTGAGTAAGTATCATGTAGTGAAAATGGTGCAGGTGTGTGGTTTTCTCAAAAGCCTTTGTTTTCCTTTTTTTCCAGATGATAAAATATGGTGTAATTAGCACTGATACCCTGATTGATGATTTACTCCACTGGAAAACCCTCTACGTGGCTGGACGCCTACAGAAGCCGGTAACTGTCGGTCTGTTCAGTTATCTGCCTTGAAATGCAGGAAATCACAGGGCTGCAAAATTATCAGTTGTAGTTTTAACTTTAACTGTTAAGGATCTGTGCATCAGAACCGAACAAATAACCTGCCCTGATTTAGGAGTCTAGGCCTAGAGGGATCATCTCTCAGAAAGGAAGTGAAATGTTGTCCTTAATGATATTCTGTGTTCTATGGAAAAAATCCACCCCCAAAGGTAATCACAGTTTTCTGCCTGTAGTAAATCTCGAATAACTGGACTATGTTAACTCCAAGTCCCTTTCATGTTTAATGCCATATTTACCTTTTATAACAAATTATAAGAGTCACCAAAATGTAACCCGAGTAATGGAAATCTTTAGAGATGAAAGCTGCTTTGCTGTTCAGTTACTGTCTAGTTAATTGTGTGAAAAAGTCTGTAACTGACTGAACCATGTGTTAAACATGTTGGGTTTTCTCCGCCATGTTTGTGTCAAAAAATGAGGCCTCTACTTTTCAAGGGAGCCTGACTCGTGCTTTCAGTAGATGGCAGCAGTGCTAAGCCCTTCTTCAGAGGAGAAGGGGGGGAAGAACTCTGTTCAAGCCTTATAACAGGAGTTAATTAATGCTTTGAACTTAATATTTGAGGTGAAAGTTTGCATAGATTGTCTCAGCACTACTGGCTTTTCTGTGTCTCTGGAGACCTATTACAGCATGATACAAGTTAGAACAGCTGTTACCTTTATAAAGCATGATACTTAATACATTGAGAAAAATAATTGAAGGAAGAATTCTGAATTTCACATTAACAGTGAGTAGTGACTATTTATTTTCAGTGTAATTGCATTTTTCTGCTGCCTTGCTTTATTTTAGGCTTTTTCATCTTCTTCATACATATAAATTGTGCTTTGTATCTTTTGATTAAGTTCAGCGGGAGTATGTACTTGCACGAGAAGGTGGAATTAGGTATTTTGTTTGGTGGCTAACAAGACAGCAGAGATATATTTGTGCATATTTAATAGATAAAAGAAGAAATCGGTCCAAATTATTTTCCTAATGCTCAGGGGAATTTGCATTCAGTAAAGACTACAGGACTTACAGAACAGGTCTGAAAGAATACTTGGTGAATGTTTAAACTGCCTCTTCCTGTAGAAGCTATAAAAATCACTAACTGGGATTTTGAATGCTACACCATATTGGCCAAAAATGACCAAATAATTTGCTTAGCTCTGTGGTGTGGATGTCAAATGTCTGCTGGTTTTGGCTTTGATTTGATGTTTTATGTTATAAGTGGCAGCGATAGAAAGCTTGCTTTACCCCCTTAAAAATACACAATAAGCCTCTTTTAGAGGGATCACAGGGTTAGGTTTGTTTTCTGACGCATTATAATCTCTGACATACCATTTACCGTTTGTGCCAGTTCTAGGCACAGCTGACTGAAGCCAGATTAATATTGTTTAACAGTTTGTTTGGGAATTTTCTCCTCACTCTTATATAGTAGAGGAAGAGCTCAGTGCCTTTCTGGTGTTCCATTACAAAGCTGTCACTCTGAGTGAAAGCTATCCAAGATATTCTAGCACATGAGCTAAAACATTTGCTCTGGATTGAAAATCTTGGTTTAATTTTCACTGGAGGTTTTGTTTCTGTTATAAACTGGTTGCCTCGACCAAGTAATCTTTCCAGAATGTTTGGCAGAATAGATGGAGTTTGGAATTGCCACTTGGAAATGCTGACTTTTCTTCCCAGGCTTCTTTGTTTGTGTTAGAAGTTTATTGGCTTTTCATCCTGTATGGTATTTCTGATGCTGATTAACTAAATTCCCATTTTACTGTACTGAAAAACTGAATAAACTTAGGTTGTAATTTCATCATAGCTGAGAGGTTTCCTTGGCTGCGAAGCTGCCATACCTAAAAAGTAAAATAAATAAGCACACGTGACATATAATTCCTTTTCAGAGGAAGAAGATTTTAAAAAGCATATGAAGTGTTACTGAATCTTTTGTTCAACATAGCATGTAACAATGGCTTTGGTGTAAGCAGCTCTATTTACTGTTGTTCTGGAGCAACTGTGAAGAGAAGGAAGTGTTTAATACATTGAAGTGAGGTGAGAAAGAGAGGAGTATGAATGGTGTATAGAAATATCTTGTATTATTTTAGAGAGGTGGTGGGAGGTTTGGTTTTTTCTATCCTAGAATTCCCACGGAGGAGTGGCAGAGCACAGTTTTGTTTACAGATTTTTTCCATTGTCCAAAACTGTAAAAACATCTTTTGAAAGAGAATGGAAAAATCCTGTTGTGATATTTAGCAGTGTAGATGTGGCTAACTGGCGAATTGCAATAGTGCTCTTAGCATCTTTTATTCGATAATGATACTGGGTTTGTGTGTTTTGTTTGTCTGCAAGTATCTTTGCACATGTCTGCAGTTTCTTGTCTGTGAATTTTGGAGCAGTGAAGGTAGAACATTTCCATCTTTAAACTGCTGGTTTACTTCACTAAGGCAAGTCTGCAGCCTTCCATGAGGAGGAACAGCATCTTTGCTGAGTTTCACCTTTGGAAAAGCCTGTAACTGTGGTGTTTTAAAGCTAGTTTGTACCTTGCTGTTATTTCCAGGGCTAGCCTAAGGTATAAGTAGTGGGTGGGCCTGCTTAGGGTGCCACAGGCTTCTCTCTTGTCTTTCCTTAGAGTTTTCTTGTGGCAGCAAGTTAGGAAAGTACGTGTAAGTGAATGAGGTGGTGAGATTTTAACTATTAGTTTATCCTCATGAGCAGTGTGTCTTGTTTGTTGGGACTTACTTGAGCAAGTCTGCATGCATTCAGTAAATTCTCCCATGGTTTTCAAGGAAATAAGATTTACTCAGGGCAGATGAATCTATCCTATTTTAATGTGTTTGAGCATTGTCTTCATTCTGATGCTAAAAACCACAAAATAACTTGCAGGAGAAGTTAGGAAGAGTTCTGAAATGTTTGCTTACACAGTGATCTGTGTTTTTAAAGTGAAAAACGAAGAAGGGAAAACATCCTTCAGAAATCCACCTGGGACCAATTCCAGACTCTCATACAAATTTGATGTTAGGCAAACCCTTGCAGAACGATTGGAACGAGCAGCCTGTATACTGTTGCATTCACCATCACATCAAAATGAGATATTGTTCCTAGTCTTATCCCTCTTAAAGTACTTCATAATTTGAAAGCATGTTTTGAATACCATATTGGCCAGCCATGACGTTGCTTTGTCAACGTCCTTTCTGCCACAGGAGTTTTGTGTAGCCAGTATGCCTGATTCTCATACTTTCTTCACTGAGTCTGGGTTAGTTGGGTTTTTTGTTGTGTGGTTGGGTTTTTTTGTTTTATTTTTTCTTCATTAACAAAGCATATACATTCATAAAGGAAAATACTTACTTGAAAGGATACCTTAGCTGTTTCAGGTTATATGTGGGGGCAAAGCTTCAAGTAATACTGCAACTAACCTGTGTGTGAATGGGCCTTAGGGGAGGAAAAGCACATTGGATATGTTTGTTAATAACTGCCAGTGGGTTTGCATTTTAAGATATTCTAGAGTAAACAAATGTTCAGCTGCCCTTTATAAGCAAGACAGTATTGCTCAACCAGAACATTGAAAGAGACAGGAACTCACAACATGGAGGTATTCTTTGGAAGAGTTGTTTCAGAAAGAGCACAATTAGCCATCTTGTAAACCAGGCTGACTTCATCTGTCTAATGTTCTATAATAATGTGTGTCTATATTCAGTTCTTACTGAAGACCTGTTTTTTATTTAGGTATATTTCCATATCCCAAGTGACTGAATTCTGTAGTGGGTCTTGGAACAGTTTGTATGTTTCTTGAATACAAACTTTTCCTTGTGGCACATAAACGCTCAACTGCAGTGATCTTCATGTACTTGTGAAGCTTCCATTGAGTTCATGTTCTGCTCATGCAAAGTGCAAAATAAAGAAATAAAGCTCTGCTGCTTTTGGGAGAACAACTAATGTCTGACAAACTACTTAAAGCATGCGACAGAAGAGTCCTCTGTTAGAAAAAAGAACAGAATACAGATGAATGGGAAAACCTCTCTCTTTTTCTGTTATTCTGTTCTTTCAGTGTGATAGTGGTCTTTTCCTTATTGCATAATCACATGTGAATTGTTTCTGTTAGTACATTCATGTTTACTGTTTTGATTAATCTTAAATTTATGACTATGAAGAGGTGAATAGCTCTTTAGGGATTTGTTAGTGACTGTTGCTTATAGCAGCCCTTTGTAAAAACAGCCTTTTGTAGCAGGCTGCTGAACTGTTAAGATCTCTCCCACTGTGTAAACACAAGGGGACACTATTATTTTTTGTACCAAAATAAGAGGATCTTATCTTAAATAAATTTCTGACTTACTTTCATGATGGATTGAATAACATTTCTAGGTCTATCTTCAGTAGCACTTCCCTGAAGTCTTGCTTCCAATGACTCTGCTTTTTCAGGTGAAAATCCTGACACAGAATGAGAATAGCAAGCTACAAGCTGCTCTTGTGAGCAATCTGAAGAGTGCAGTCACAGCAGCCTTTCTCATGTTACCAGAAAGCTTCTCAGAAGAAGACCTCTATATGCAGATTGCAGGACTCTCCTATACTGGTTAGTATATGGTGTCTGATGTCACTGAAGAGAAAAGCTGTAGTTGAAGCTGTTGTAACACAGTAGGAATTCTAATACATAGTAAGTCATCTGCGCTCTTGCTTTGGGCCTACGCTCTTGCATGCTTCAGCAACTGTATTTTAATGCTGTGTTTCATAACAGCTTGGTAAGACTAATTGTGCTGATTCATAGAATGCAGGTATAGGTGCATAAGCAAAACCTTATACCTGCTTGATTTATGAACAGCTAAGTATGGGTGATGGAAAAGGGTGGAAAATATTTTTTTTTAATGTTTCAAAACTTTGGCAGAAATGTCTTACCACTCTCAGTGTGATGTTGATTCATCTGATAGCCTGACCCATGCTTTGTTATCTCTTACTTTCTTAATGTGTTGTGTTTAGGCTTCTTTAGTAAACTTAAACAGGGGAAGTTCAGGTTCGATATGAGGCAGAAGTTCTTTACTGTGAGGGTGGTGAGGCGCTGGAATGGGTTGCCCAAGGAAGTTGTGAATGATCCATCTCTGGCAGTGTTCAAGGCCAGGTTGGACAGAGCTTTGGGTGACATGGTCTAGTGTGAGGTGTCCTTGCCTATGATTTTAATGTCCTTTCCAACCCAAAGCATTCTGGCATTCTGTGATCCAGATTATAATCCTCCAGTGTACATTTAACACTCACCTCCTCATTCGTATTTGTTCACTTTTTTTTGTAAGAGAATTCTCTCGTTTCGTTATGAGATCAGTATGAATTTCTAAGGGAAAAAAAAGTAAGAAATTACTCCAAGCGACTCTTCAATACAACACTTGATTGTGCTGAGAGCGGGCTGGCTAAAGGGTGCTAACTGGGGATGTTTGGAACAGGGCTGCATACCTGCCTGCCTGAAACTTACCCAGGAATGTCATTAGATTCTTGGTGAGCACTGCCGACCAAGATACACTCTTTTTTATATATCCTCCCAAAACCATGGGAGATCAGTTACCATGCTGTAAGCTGAAATTGGCTCTGCTGTGTGAACAAAGCTAAAGCACTAATTCCCAGTTGGGAATGTTCAAGAAAGACTGTTGATAACACGTTTTTTTTTGCTGCCGGTTTAGTTAAGTCTTTCAGAGGCTGTACTAGTAGGCAAAACTGATTTTATGGGTTACTTCAATCTGTCTCCTTGGAAACTGCTGAAGAGAGTTGCTCATGCTTTAGTTTGGAAAATGTTTATCCTTTTATTTTTGTATGTTTTTGAGAGCAGTGAGTCAGTACTGCTTCTATGGGAAGTGTTTGTTTTGTGGCTTGGCATAAATTGAAATAAACTCAGTGATGTAGCAAGTTGCCACCTTGCAACAACATTTATCTCCTGCATGTGGGAAGTGGGAAAATGAATTGATTCAGGAGTTTGTTTGTTCATATGTGCTGCACAGAGCCTCTAACTCCTGGTTGGTAACCCTGGAAGCTACCAGGGTAGCACCCAATGGAGGTAGATGAATGCTCTATCACAGACTGTCTTTTAACTTACTCTCTTTGAAACTTTTCAGTCATTTATCATAAAAGGAAATGCAAAGGTCAGTAACCGGTGTTAAAAGGAGCTGCTTTTTGAAACTAATAACCAAATAGTAGGGTGAAAAGTTGATGAGTAAAAGATGATACTGTGATCTTTCCATGACACCATTAGCAGGTACTGCCCTTGAAGTGCAGAGGCAATGCAAATTACTTTCTTTCAATACTGGAAAATAGAAGGTTATTTGTTTCTGGATACAAAAACTTGGGGCTGGTCCATTTGTATATTCTGTTGAAACTGATGCATGGTTCAAATACAATTACTACCTCTTTCAAGGTAGATTTTTCTTTTGTTGACCAAGGGGTAATGTGGACACATGGGTTGATGATGGTACAGCACACAAGAGGGCACATAACAATTTTGAGTCTTATTTTCTGTGCTTGAAGGTATTTGAATAGTATTTTTTGGCTGTTGGAAGGTGAACCTGGTAGTGGATTATATAGGTAGAATTGGAAAATAAAGTTTTAGACTACAGCTTTTTACTGTGTTTGTTTCTCTTATATTCTTTTTGAGTTTCCATTTTTTCCTAATGAATTGTTTCTCTTTTCTTGACTAGGTGATTTCAGAATGATAGTAGGAGAAGACAGATCGAAAGTGCAGAACATAGTGGAACCTAATGTTCCCCATTTTCAGAAGCTGTACAGTAACATACTACAGGACTGCCCTCAAGTGGTATACAAGCACCATCTGGGAAGGCTAGAGGCAAGTGTTCTTCACAACATTTTTAAAACAAGCAAGTGGAAGTGCTTTATCACATTGACAGAAGGCAGGAATTCTATTGTACACTAAGAGCAGTTGTAGTCACTGTACTTGCTGTTTGTTATGTTTCTGTTTAGTTAATTCTGCAACCAGAAGACTTGCCTTAAATACCAGTCTCTGCATATGTAGTAACTACTGTTCATTTTGTTTGAGTATGGGCATAGAACTAGAGCCCTAGCAAGGGAACAAGAGAAGATCATTTTAAAACGCATGCTCTAATGACTACCATATGAAAACACCAGTCTAGGAAGTGCTGAATAAACATATGGGTTGTGTTAAAAAGATTAGGCTGTAACTTAGAGGTGCAACTTCTTAGAGCTGCAATCAGAAACTGCATCTGACAAAAAAACCCTAGAGCGCTAGCTATGAAGATCAGTTGACTAAACCCAGATGAAATTCTGGCATTATCTTTAAGTACCCATACTAAGCCATTTTTTCCCTAGTTTTTGGGAAACAGGTATCCAAAATTACCAGTATCTTGAATTCCACCTTTCTGGCATAATGTGTGTGATTGCAATTAGGGGAGAGATGTTATATTCAGGGGTTCAGTAGCAGTTTTTCCTCTTCCAGTATTCATGTCCGTGTGTGGATATTCAAGTGTGATATGCATTTCAACATGAAGTTACAGGTAACATGGGTTGTCTCATGGATATGATATCTCTTCATCCTCAAGTTACCTTGGTCATTATCTCCCAGGTGTCTCCTTTTAGGATGTGTCTTTAGAAACTGAAGTTCAGATAGAAGCAAGCTTGAGTACAGTAAACAATTTTACTGCAGTGCTTTGGAGTACAGCGTAGGCAAATCTATTATACTGCAGCTGTCTCCATGTTTTCTTATCAGTGTGCTTTTGAACAGTTCAGTGGAAGAGCTATTTAAATGGCTTTTGAAAAGAGTCAGTAATGCTTTGTCGAAGGAAATGGCTAGTTAGGTTAATCCCTGTTGTGATACCTTTAAACAAATCCTGGTAGCATACGACTGATAAATTGTTGAATAATAAATCTGGCCATAATTCCATAGTAGTCATCAAAGCTGTTGATTAAATGCCATCATTTTACTGTTGATTTTGAGCAAAGTGCTTTAAAATGTTATTCTTCGCACCTTGGTTTATTGTTGGCAGTTACCCCCCATCTGAATAGGATAACTGCTATCAGGAGTGCTGTTTGATGCAGAACAGAAACCTCTTCTCCAAGTACACATTCTCAGAGTTACAGAGAAAATTCTTTCTTAAAAGATTCCTCAGAAACAATTGAAGGCAGACACTAGCTCTTACAGTTCTGGTTCAGGCGTGGATTCCTCCCACATAATGTTAAGAGGCTGCTCATTGTCGGCTCCCTCTGTAGTCAGTGGGTGATTCATCTGGATATCATTTTCCCCTCATTGACTAAAGGGAGTGTATAGGACAGCTAGACTCCTGTCTGATGTCTCCATGAACTGTCTAAAACATTGTGTGGGAGGAATTGAGCTCTTCATGTTTTCCTTCAGTTTTGGAGAGAGCTGCTCCTTTATGCATTTTTCAGTATTTGTGCTTACCTGGTGTATAAACATGTACAGGCCTGCGTGCTGGTATCCTTGTGTTCAAAACGGGGTCACTGTATTTCTGACTTAGATTGGAAAATGTGGAATGAATGTTTCCTTCACATTATAAAAACCAGATGTGGTTTGAGTTTAAAGCAGAGAAAATGTTTTTCAAACTAAACTTGTGTGTGTGTGCAGTTTGATTATGTTCAGGCAGAAGAAGCTGAGCTAAGTGGTCTTTTGGGAGCTTTGTTTTTCTCATTGTAGTGTACTTATATTTCCGAAGGAAATTGGATAGAGCAGAAATGATACAGTTTCAATGAAAAGTTGCTTGCAGAGGCAGCAAGATCATATGTGTACATTAGTCTTCTCTGGATGAAAATCAACATCTTTGCAGTGAGTTAACTTTTCAGGTTCAGAACTGGGATACTGCATTTCCCAGTGCTTGGGAAGTTTTCATTAGCATTGTCAGTGACTCCTCAAAGTGAAATGGATCATCTTCTGGGAGATATTTATCAGAGGTCAGAGACAGTCAAAAGACTTTTCTGACTTCTTTGAGAAAGTGACTTTGCTTTATTAACACGGGATGTTTTTGCTGTTTTATTTTTTCATAATGTTCAGATAGATAAAAGTCCAGAAGGACAATTTGCACAATTGATGTCTTTGCCAAGGACTCTGCAACAAAAGATAACTTCTCTGGTAGACCCTCCTGGAAAAAACAGGGATGTGGAAGAAATACTATTGCAAGTTGCCCATGACCCTGACTGTGGATTTGTGGTACATCAAGGTAGGTCTAGATCAGTGCCTGTAAGAAATCCTATTGCAAGTTGCCCATGACCCTGACTGTGGATTTGTGGTACATCAAGGTAGGTCTAGATCAGTGCCTGTAATCTCCTTTAAGACATGATGGATTTACAGATCCATTGTATATTTTCTGCTGAAATAGTAGCAAATAGCATTCCTACTGATACAGAAAGGTATGTTTTGGTTTAGTCCTGAAAGAAGTAGTCTTTGGGTATTAGTGTGGCCTCCTTAGACCATGGCAACAATCTGACTCTATTTGGGATGTTTACATCTTTAGGATTTTATTGGCTGGCATAATTTCAGCTAAATACTAAGCTATATATATATATCCTACCAGTCATACGTTGCGATGCTACATCCATTTTCTGGCTTGCTGACATTCCTCTTCCCAGTCATCATGGTTAGCCCAGCTCTGGCAGAGAGCTCAAGCTTTGAAGAGAAAGATTGAGGTGTTTCTCACCATCACAGTCTCTCTGAGGCAAGATTATGCTGTACGAGCAAGTTAAAGCTAAAGCTGCAAACATCAGTGTTTTATTATACTGAATTAAAAATGGAAACATTTGGTACCTGAAGAGTCCTTTACATCCTTAAAGAACTTGGCACATCTTAGTTCCAGGTGGACAATTTTGCAGGCTCCTTGGGCACAGGAAAAATTCCCTGGGTGCCGGAGAGCCACTTGACACTAGCCGGCTCCTGAGGGAGCTCCTGAGCATTGCAGTGCTCCACTGAGAGTACAGGATGAATTGCACCTTGACATCAAGGTGTCCACCTTCTCTCATGTTAAGTCTATGGCAGCTTCTGTGCTGCTATGGTTGGACTGCAGCAGTAATGTGACAATAGCTGAACCTGGTAGCAGGAGCTGCAGTGTTGTGAGCTGCAGATAGTTTTAGAGCTCTGAGTTGTCCATCCTGAGAGAACTCTCCTTGCAGCTGTGTTTTGGTGGGGTATCGCAGGCAGGGCTGTGACTGTATCCATGCACTTTGTACTCTTAAGAGAAAAAATCAAAACCCCTCTTTGACTTTTATGTCCAAAAGATTTTCCTAATTCAAGAATCTAGATAAAAGGCAGGACAAGCCATTTGGTAATCCCACAAGGCAAAGTTGGTTACTCAAGCTGAATTGCATTGTCCCTAGGTATTTTACTAGCTCAACATGATTTGTTTCCTTCCCTTCCCTACCCCCCAAATTATTTTTTGATGGAATACTGTGTTCCTTTTTTAAATGGATTTCCTGAAGTTTTGTTCTTCATTATAGTCGTAGATTTGAAGGAATTAATATTTGAAATTATAGTCTACACTCTGGTTAATGCAGAATAACTTTCAGTTTGGAAGGGCAGCTCAGGGGCTGCCTGCGTTTTTACATTTCTGAGTCTGTAATAATGTACAGTTTTTGTCACAGTTTTGTTCTGCACATGGCAGTCTGCTTTACAGATGTGTTCGAATAGATAAAACCTGAGGCCTTTCAAAAAAGTTTTCATGTCTTATATTCTATTCCATTAATACTTAAGAACTGCTGGACAATGAGAACTGAATGTGCCACAGTGCAAAGTGCTAAACCAGCCTTATCTCCAAAGCTGATAACTGAAACCAGCCAGACAAGCACTGCACAGTACAGGCATCTCTGCTTGATCAGAGAAGAGCAAAATGCCGATTTCACACTGAAGTAAACAATGAATAGAATTGGTTCTGCTCTAGAAAGTCAATATACCAGCAGTTAGATGAAAGTATTCTGGATGCCTTGTGACTAATCATTTTGGTAGAGAAATAGTGGGAACACTAAATAAATTAATTAGATTAATTCCTACAGGTTATCTGGTTTAATATTGACTTAGGGCTTTTTCTGTATGTTATACTTAAAAAAGCTTAAAGAATTTTTTCAATTAGTGTGACAAAGCAGAACAGTTTTAAGTGTATGTTTTCCTTTCAGTCTGGATTTATTGTAGAAGTGGAAAAATGTTTTAACTTTATTTGCATATGTTGGAGGATGAAAAAAACCAACCCACAAAACTCTGAAGATGGGTAACATCTGTGTGCTTTTCTGTCTGCAGGCATTTCAAGAATTGTGAGATCTTCCAGTGTAGTGCAGAGTGCTAAAACCATACTAACAGCTGGTAAGAACAAGTGTGATTTCCATCAACATAGGCCTTCTGATTTCACAGAGTAAAAATCATAAGGCCCCAAGACTGGCTGCAAGAGTTTAGAGAATAAACTTTTTGGGTGTCTAATTGAAAGCCCCTGGAAAATAAAGGTAATGTTTAAAGCAGGAGCTTTATATAACTGTTGAGAAACTGTAAAATGCCAAAAGGAATTGGAGTCTATATGACCCTTAAACAAAACCGTCCAACAACCCCAAAGTAGCAAAAAACCAGCTTCTGACTTCAGTTTTATTTTATATGTGGGCCAGATTTGGCTATGTGCGTGACTTCTGCTCTGTCCGTATTAAAAAACGGAAACAAAATACTTCATAATTCACTCTGGCTTTCTATGTGGGAGTGGATCCCTAAATGATCAGTGCATGGTATCAGTGTGTTATGTAGTCTGTAAGATTATTTCATCATAAAATAAAGGAGGGAATGAGTTTTGAGGGAGAGAACTTTGATAGGATCTGATGTTTTTGTCAGGCTTGGAAGACAGGTCTGTATATGAAGACTTCAGGTGTTCAAATACCAGAGGTATTTGAATACTATACTTGGTGAGCATTGGATATTACTGTAACTCTCATACCTCACAATTAATCACTTCAGAAAAAAGACTTGAATATTATAAAGTCAATGAGAGGGAAGGTTAGAAGGGAAAGAAGACTTGCTTGTGTAGAAACTAGGAAATGGGAAACTAGGGATGTATTTCAGCTATCCGGGTCTTCTGAACTAAATGAAAGTTACTGCCAGTTGCATAGCTGGAGCTTCATCATTTTTTCTGGGTTCTGGGATATATCTGACTTTAAGGGGACCTGATTTTTACAGTTTAAAAAGCTGAAAGCGCTGCAGCTCCATTTGAAAGAAATACTTGAGACCTAAGCCTTCATTTTCTTAAAACTGATCAGGAGCTACTCTGAATCCCTGTAAAGTGAAAACTCCTTCATGAAGCTACTCAAATAATTTTCTGAACTCATTCATACCTGTTCCTAATTCTCCCACAAAAGCAATTATATACAAATGATGCCATTACTGGTTTTAAAAGCAGCTGTATAATTTCCTACTGAGCAGTCCTTAAACCAGACTTCTACAGGTGCTCTTCCCTTCCCATTTAGTATTAAAGATGGTTGCTCCATGTTACACTTCCTACCTCCTTGTAAAGAAACACCAATTGCAGTATTCAGGACTGTTAGTGGTCTGCTGAGTAAAATAAGCAGGAGCAATTGTACTTTTTATATGATTCTGTTAATAGTCTAGTTCTAGATTAAAACTTTGTTTGGTAGCTGGAGGAGACTAAGGACTTAACTCCACCTGAGAAAACAGTTGTTTGTTTTATATGAGTTAGGCATATTGCAAGTATTAATTTCTAGTTGTAAGGTTTCCAGCCAAATAGCTGACATTTTTCTTCTAGGATTTGTTGTCAAAATTACCAGCTAGTGGTCAAGACTTCTTGTATCATAACATGCCTCTTGTAGAAATGCCAGCTTGTAACCGATCTGTTTATAAATCCATGGTGAGTAGATTTTGTAGAGTGAAATAATTGGAGGGAAGGGTCAAAGACAAAGATATCACATAATCCCAGACTGGTTTGGGTTGGAAGGCACCTTAAAGCTCATCCACTTCCAACCCCTGCCACGGGCAGGGACCCCTTCCACTAGAGCAGCTTGCTCCAAGCCCCTGTGTCCAACCTGGCCTTGAACACTGCCAGGGATGGGGCAGCCACAGCTTCTCTGGGCACCCTATGCCAGTGCCTCAGCACCCTCACAGGGAAGAATAATTATCCTGTTGAATTTGGTGCTTGTGGAAGTCAGGAGTCTGACTGACCCATATAGCAAAGCAGGTTGTGTGTAACAGCAAGAGTATGAATAAAAACACATAAGCTTTGTCAGATCCTTTATGCTTCCCTCTGTCTGTTCCCATAAACAGAAAATCACCTCTGAGAATTGTTAGCTCCTTTTGTGTGTCACAGAGTAAATCACACCCTATATCATTACTAGGACTTCGGGGGCCTCAAATGCATCTTTTAGTAGGACTTGTAATTTTCACCATGTTTTCTGCTTTGTGCATCCAAGAGTAGGTATTTGTGAAATGCCTTTTCTTGCCTTGAAAGTCTTAACTGCTTTTTGATTCACATGTTGTGGTGCTTTATATTTTTTCCCTTTAAAACAAACTCTAGTTGTCCTCTAATCAGCCAGCTTCATAGAGTAACACAGTCAAAACCCATGTTGTTCCTACTAGTGCATTTTTTGCAGTTTGATGCTGGTAGAGCAAAGTGATTGTGATCCTTTGCCTCAGCTACGAGCCAAATTTGAGCAAGGATGCCTGGGAGAGGTGTTCTCTTACTTTTAGCATAGTTTAGCTTTGTTTATTTTAACTGTGTTTATGCACTTCTGCAAGTATCTGGCCAAACCCATTAGCAGCAGAATTCAGGAGTGATCCTTTGGGGGTACTCCAGATGATGTGCTGAGGGAAATGAGTTAGATTTGGAAAAGGACCATTTCTGCCATTTCCTAAGCTCTGGATGTCATTTGATGAACACAGAGCTTGCCTGTAGGGTGACCTTCCTGAGCCACCCTGGCTGGAGAAAGGGAGTCCTGCAGCTTCAGACGGACCAGGAGCGTCTGTGACATGGGTGCTGCACCCAGGGTGAGCGTTGCCTCCCCTGCTAGTTCAGGAGCAGCCCTGCTTCCCAACAGGCCTGTGTGTAGGCCTCGCTAGAGCTGCCCCTGCTTCACTGCTGGAGGTGGATGGAAGCACAGGAATAGGGCTTTTGTAATCAAAATCCCGACATTGTAGTGCACATCAAGGAAGAAATGAAATTTAACTGACCAGGCACATGACCTCAGCATTCCATCAGGTGTGTGTTGGTGTGATCGGCCCTGGGATGGAGGAGGGATGGGCTCCCATGGGGTTAGGGCTTGGTCGAAGCTTTTCGCATGTTGTTTGTGGGGATTCTTTTAATGTTTCTCTCCAGACATTTCTGATCGAGTTTATGTTAATTCTCACTGTATCCTCTGGTGATGTTTTCTCCCAGTTTCCTATTGTGAAGCTTGGTCACTAGAGGGCAGGCATTAATGCTGAGCACCTCACTTTGCCATTTCCTGGGGCTCTGATCAGCTCCTGTTCATACAGATACACATGTACACAGACAAAACGTTGTGCTTCCTACGCTGAAAGTATTTGATTGACTCATGAAAGGAATGTGTTTTGTAGGAAAGTATTGAATTTTAAATGCAATCCCTAAGGATGCTGCATTCCTTTCTTCAGTCTTTAACCAACTCTTGTCTAGTGTTCTGTTCCCCTAAGACTTATTCTCACGCTTTCTAATAGAGATTTTAGGAAGAGTATTATGGCTCTGTCCCTCTGTGCTGCTGTAAAGAATAGTTGCTAAAATAAGAGAATTATGAAAGATATTCTTGAAATCAGTGGCTCCACTAAATAAGCTCTATTTTTTCTTGCTATTCCTAGTAACTGTACAAATACTTTTGTCCTGTGTCTGCTTTCAAAAGAATTAGTTCTTACTGCATGGCCATCATCCTTTTTGAAATGTAATGGGAGGACACAAAATGATTTCCTAGGCTGGTTATTTTATCAGCAACAAGAACTAGAATAATGCCTACTCTCTGGTTGTAGCATGATAGCCCAATGTACAGCCTGTTAGTAAACGAAATGTTAAATGGGCAGTACTCATTGCGGAGATGGCGTGCTGTGTATTAACATCACTGTCAAGGAGCACAAGCAAAATAAAGAATTTCAACCCATTTAGGAGAACCTTTTTTGTCTTTCTGTGCCAGTGTGGTTTTAGAGTTGAGCTCAAGCTCTGTGTTTTTGTTTGTTGTTAAATGCCCTATTTAGTTTTTGAATATGTGCCTGTGCATCTCTTCAAGTCTGTGGTGGGATTGCCTCTCTGTTTCCCATTAGGGATGGCACCATCGCTTGATTTATTTTCCCACATAGCCATAGTCTGCACAGTCTTTGGGAACTAACTCTGAAGTTCTTATATTTAGCTCCTCTGAAGGAGACGTTGAACTTCTTTAGCTTAGATTTCTTCTTTGTGTCTTCCTAGAGGAGTGCTGCAGCCTTGAAAATTACTTGTAAATAAGATACTATGCATTAAAGCGTCAGTTGAAGCAATCGTTCAGGATGCTGTTAAGTTAGAACGAACGCTTGTAGCTGCTCTGAATAACACTAGTTTACTTAGAATTGGGATGTTAATATCCTGTGTCTTTAAGGGATTTTTTTGAACTATAAGGAGGAGGTTTACATACCGAATATTCTGTATATTTGTGATAGCTGCTGTCTTCATCATCTGCCGGAGCAGATACTGCATACACCACTGCATACACCACTGCACTGTAAATGTTTAAGAGGTTTGCATGTGCATGAAACACTAACGGCATGTAACTGTTTGCCTCCACATGCCAGTTCTTCAGCAGTATGTGCATTAGTTTTTCTTTTCAAAAGGAAACACAGAATATCACAGCCAGGCATATCTATTGGGAAACTGTGGGGGACTTATAGCCAAATTAATGTCTTACAACAGTGACGCTTCCAAAAAAACGAACATGGATCATTAAGTAAAACCAGATACAACTGCTGTTTACTCTGAAATGCTGTGGTCTTGATTCCATGTGCATTAGGTCTTTGTTCTGTAGCATATAGTGGAAAAATCTAAAGGGGGGGGTGGGGGGGGGGGGGTGGAACCACCAAGTCATAGGTTCATAGCTGAAGTAGAAAGACATTTTCATGTGGTCCAACTGCTTCAGATGCTGAGACTGCACCATAATTGCAACCATTAACTTTTACTACAGCTGTGACTCATCACCCTGAGGGCTGCTTTAAGAAACCAGCTGTATGTACAGATCTGTATTTTGCTTTGTAGCCTGATGTGCCAGGGCAGAAATGTAAGCATTTATTACATAAGGCTCTGGTGGGTGGAGCTGAGGCGAGTGCTCCCTGCAGGGGGAAAATATGGAGGAGAAAAACCTCTTTATGTGGAGCTGCTGCAAGAGGCAGGGTAAGTTGGCAAGCTGATGGAACAGGCTGACTTGCAGGCTGCAGTGCCAGCACAGTTAATTACAGTCCTGCAGGGCTGTATCAGCTGTCTCACTGTTGATTTGCCACATGCTAAACTGCGCTTCCAGAAGTACACTGGCTTCGTTGGAACAGCAGAACATTGGTTCTGGCAGAGCAACTCCAGCATGTGAGGGGCTGTATCCTGCAAAGATAGTACCTAGGAGAATGGACGGTAATTTCCAAAGCTGTACACTTACATAGTTTTAACTTTGGAGATTGGAAGCACTTCTCTCATTTATGTGCTCTGCCTGAGCTTGGTCTGGCCTTATTCTGCAGCTGGAATTCTTGCAACTCTGTGCAGTTTTAATGCAGATAATGTGAGGTGCTTCAAAATTTACATGATTATTTACTTGTTAGTTGAGATGCTGTAAAGAAAAGTCCATTGTGAGTTCATTAGCGTGCTTACTTTTAGCAAAAACCTATTAAATATAGGGAAGTTTGAGCTTACATATGGGATGCACATGTTGAAAAGTAAATGTATGGATGATTCCTTACAAAAAGTACACTTGAGTTTGTTTAAATTGCAATTAGAGACAGTGCAAAACTGATCATGTACAGCATATTTGTTGTGATAGGCTTTTTGCTGTCCATCATGTTCCTTCAGAAATGGAGCATGCACTTCTCCTTATTGCTGCATACTCATTTGACTTCTTGTGACTCTAGACTGCTGATGCTGAGTGCATCTTAAAATACTCAGTGTTAAATTGATTACTTTCTAAGGTCTTTTCAAAATCAAATGTTATCATACCCTTTCCCTTTCCCCACCCAGTAAAATGTCCAGTGCAGCAGATGGCTAAACTTGGGTCAGAAGATCTTCCCTTGTGTTCTGTGGTGTCAGACTGTGATTTTTGGCTACATTGCTTTTCTGTACTTTTAGCAAGTTTTGTCAGGCAAACCGTGTTCTATTGAATATAAGAAGGATTGCAGTTAAGTAAAACAAAGTATACTTCTTAGTCTGTGCATGTAAGTGTCAAAATGAAAGCTGTTTGTGCAGCATTAAGAACTTGCCTTTTCAGTTTTGTGTTTGTAAGGGTGTGATTAGACTGTTGTAATCTGGAAAGTCACTCTGGTTTTTTGTTCTGGGGTGATTTTTGTTAATCAGAAAAATCTGGAAGGAGGAAAACCAAGGAGCTGCATGGATTCGGATGTCCGAGCCCTGTTGAAATGCCAAGACTAACAGCATTTCAAGTTTCCAAATACTAAATGACTAAACCCAGCAAAAGGCTCCATCTTTTTACTCTCTGTCTATAAGGGAAGGCTCATCTCTGGTAGAACTTCAGCAGTGTTTAAGGGTAAACCATATAAAATTGTGTAGGAATCATCCTCAGTCCCTTTCTGTCTACAACTTGGAAAAGCTTGGGGGCAGTGACTGCTGCAAAATCCTTCTGTAGCTTTACTGAAACTGAGAAATGCCTTCCTTCATTGTAAGCCTAGCGTAACAGTGTGGTACTCACCAGAGCTCCCTACTTGTGAGCTACTGCAGGGTGGTGCTGGAGCATGACAGCTATTCTGGCTTCGCATGAGGTTTATTGTAAACAAGAGACAGGCAGGTTAGTTCGAAGCAAAAGTGGTCCAGGCAACATCCATGTGGCAGGGTATTCACACTGGTATATTTCTGATACTGGCAGTGTTGCCAAATTCCAGTTGTTCGTCATCATCTTGTTATTTCCAGCTCTTTCAGTTCACCTGTGTATATGCCTTATTAATCTGGTTTTCCATACCCATCATCGTTTCAGTATTATCTAATTTTACCTAGGGACACAGATGTCATTTTGTTACACAAGTCAGGCAGTTTTGTTCTCTTGCAGATGTGCTGCTATTCTCAGTTATGAAATGGTAGCTGCCATTAGTTAGGATGAGGCAATAACAGAATCTTCAAGGAGGTTATAATGTACTTCACACCTCATTGAAATAATTTGATTTCCACCTCAACAGTCAGCAACACATATCCTGTGAAAAAACTCATTTTTTTTTTTTTAACTCACAAGCCTTTGCAGAGCAATGCTCTGGGTTGGTACATTTCATCAAGATGAGCATCAGCATGATGCTTCTGAACTCTGTGTAGAAATGCTCTACAAGAAGGCAGTCAAGTGCCCGATGTATAGCATCAATCAAGGCTAACTAAAATCTGGTTACCAGAAGTTGTCGAAGTAGGATTTGGAAGTATAAAGCTTGTTGTGTACCAGTCATGAGGAGTTTGCTTGTGTTGCTTGAGAAGACTCTTCTTTTGTCTTGGTTCACCCTTCTCTCTCCTTCCCCTTTATCCCTTCAGTAACATTTTGGCTGCACAGCTGTAGCACAGCTGTGGTTCTTGATTAGGCCTCATCTATCTACAGCATCTGGTGGTGGGCTTCTGTCTTAAGAGCCAAAAGGCTTCAACAACTAGGTGGTTTTCACAGACGTGGCCAGCTCATTAACCTGCACACCTAACAGCCTGGATTTCTCTGGAGAGTCCTGCTTGGGTCCTGTGGTGGAATATAGTCTGTCAGGTTGATGGTGTCCGTTACCAGGCGAGAGTAGAGCCTGACAACCTATCTAGCAGTAGGTCAGAAAGGACATGGAAAGCATCACATACTGGTTTGGTGAGGGTCTGCAGCAGACAGAGGTGGTTTAAAACCCTGCCTGTATTTAGCATGTAAGAGTTTTATCATTCTGTACATTTGCTATACCTTGATCATTGTCTATACAGTATGCTTGTATGCACCATTGTCAGGTCTTCAGAATGAAGCCACCCTACTTTGCATGCCTTGATACTATGAAAACTATTTTTCTGTGTCATTATTCAGTGTTATGAATGTGACAAGAAGCTTATTTGCATGTCTGCCTGATGGATTAGGCTGTCATTCTTCTAGGGAATACTTAATATAGTGAGAACCTTATTTTTGGCAATCTTATTGCAATCTTATTACAATCTTATGTCTCTTTTTGGTGTTCTGTTTTTTAGGGGCAAAGAAATCTGTAACTTACAGCATGAAGAAATTATATAAAATGACAAAGGGATGGTTGAGGAAAACATCTTGAATCTTGACATACTGTGTATGGGTAAATAAATGGTACTTTTTCACTGAATACTTTGCAGATGTTGCTTTGCCTACTTGAGAAGATGGTATATTTAAGAAGTCTGTTTGAATAATTTACATGCTCAATTTTAGTACTGAAAGAGGGCTTTTGTTAGTGGGGGAAGGTTCCACGGTGATAGGGCAAAGGAATTATACTCTGTAAATACTGTGATGAATTCTCCTGTACACTATAGCTTGGATTTTCAGAAATCAGGTTGTACTTATGAATTAAAACCCAAAGCCACTCCTTTTCTATGCATTGCTAGCTTTATTTTCCAAGGTACCCTCAGGCTCTTTCAAAATATTCACTGTCCCAGGTTTAGTTCTGCCAGGGACGTGTGGAGCTGGAGTCCATTGAGTTGTAAGTAGATATGAAACTGTCCTCTTAAAACACGTTATTTCTTCATGTACAGGTTCAGCGTTAGGATTCTTTTGAGGATGTTTACTGGGTGCTTCTGCAGGGTGGACTTCAGGAAAAGTCAGGGTTTTCCCAGATGTGTGACATGCTGAATCTAAAAACCCTTAGCCATGACTTTCAGTGTGAGAAAGAGTGTTTGAAATGAGAGGCTTGTCGCATATCAGATCTTTTCATTCAAATTGGATGTTCCTTTCCCGAGACTGAGAGGACAACTGCCCAGTTCATGGCTAAGCATTGCCAGAAGTGTCCTCATTAGAAGGAAAGTGACCTTCGGGAGCTACTTAAACGGATTAATGAAATGTGTGTTGTTTGGCAGAAGATTCTGAGTCCTTTAAAGTTTATGAACAAAAGTACCTATTATTTAATTGATTCCTTATTCTTGTTTTCCTGAAAATACTGTCCACAAAGATAACATTGTTCTCCCTTGCTTAATTCAATTAGCTAACCTAAAGAAAACTGGATTTGTACATAACATAGTACATTAAACATGCCGTTAAAGAATGGACATTTCTGGCAGTATTGATGTGCTGGAGCACAATAAATCTGGAGCATCTGTTGTCAATAGAATATTTCTTGCCCTGAGTTGGGTGGGCTTGTGGATTTTGGATGTTTTTCTCAATAAAATAAATGGCGAGAACATTTCACTTGTGAGAGTGTCAATGCTAAAAATAATTGAAAGGTAAAAAATGGAAATAAAATGTACCATTCCTGATCAGCATCTCTGTATTTGTGGTGTATTCTGTGATCCATAGGGCCATCTCTCAAGCTACATTTGTTTGAGTGATCTACTTTCAAAAGAAAATATTGGGATAAAATTGGCTGCTAATGATTTCCAGGGAGCAGTTCAAAGCCTAAATTTAAGCGAGAAGACAGCAAATATATTATCGTGTGTAACATGACTCAGGCTTTCTGTAATCACAGGGGACCTGTTAAATATCATTTCTTACATATTTGAGTTTCAAGTGGCAGAATTTGAATCCAGAGTCAGGAAATGTGTCCCTCTTACTCTCATTTTTTTACTTTCTTGGAAAATACTGTTACTGTTCAGTAGTAACTTTCTAAGGTCACAGGCAGATTCCTAACATGTTGCATTATCTGTTGATGGTAGATCTAGAATTTGTAAGACAAATCCCATCAAATGCCTCTTTTTCTGATAGTAGGAGGCTGATTATCCTTATTATGGTGGCATATTCTGCATAAGAAGTAACTTCAGCTAGAGAACGTTTGTATGTACAGCACTAATACTCTGTGTCAGTAAAGAGGCCAAAATCCCCAACTTGAGAAGTTTCTATTATAAGAAATGGAACTAGTGAATTGAAGCCACTGCTTAAATTAAATTAACCTTGGGTTTTGGCTGGATAGTCTCGAAGTCTCTTGTACAAAAATATACCCTATCCACCTTAAAATTAACTACATATGTAGTGAAGACTTGAAATAGCATATGATTTTTTACATTTCAGCATAACCTCTAGTAAAAAGAAATCTGAAATCAGATGTTGACTTACTTAGGTGTGCTTGGTGGAAAACTCGTAACAACAGAGAATACTGATCCCAGTGGTAGAAACAGACCCCAACAGATACAAATGAGCAGCACAAGGAAAGATTCAGGATGGAGTCATGACCTTCTGAATGAAATAGTTCCCAGGTAAGAAGTGCAGTGCTGGCAGAACCGCCTGGTTGAGTCATCTGACGAGGTAACAGCTTGTATTTTCTGTCCCAGATGAAGTACACTGTAGGGGAAACTGCATATGGGCAGGAGCATGGACAAAAGACTGAATGTTTTTACACCGGTAATTTGGTGTTAGTAAAGTCTTAATGGGGTCCACTGTATTATTTGGAACTGTGAAAGTCTTTGGGATACAAGAAAACTTGGAAAGTGAAACAAAGAGCACATCATGTCCCATCTCCTTGTAGGAAACAAGACCACTTCGAAATAACCCTCTGCATGAACAGTCAGCAGAATGATTTATTTATTCTTAATGTAACTGAATTTTATATGTTCTGGGCTTTCTTTTGTACTTGTGTTTATTTTCTTTTAAGGCTGTGTGGGAAACGGTCTCAGTGGGCCTTAACTCCATCTAACGGAGGGGATGCTCACTGCTGGTGAGGATTCATCCATGACAGATTCAGTGAGATCCCTCCGAGTGAAAGTGTATTTTTCTGTGTGTGTGAGTTAGGGGGGGTGTATGTGAATTCTGGAATATGAATACTGTCAGCAGGAAAATATAGTTGCTTTTTAAAAAATGCCAGCTGCTGCACTCTGGATTGTTGGGAATCTGTTCCATGTTCTGAATACATTTACCAGAAAATGAAGGCTAACAACTGAAATCGTACTCCAAGTTTTGCCTCATTTATCTTCTCTTTATGTCTGTAAATGAAAATGTAACTATTGCATTTTCGTAATTCCCAGAATTCCTTCAGGATGCAGACTTTCCTAGGTGCTGCATAGAAATGTACAAGCTGGAAGAAAATAGGACATCTGTGGTGCACAGATGGAGCAAAAACTTATCCAGGGTAAGCAATGTGACCAAATGAATTACAGAAAGTAGGCAGTGGCAAAACTAGACTCTCTTACCTTTTAAGAAGCTAATTCCCTCCTCCTGTAATAGTGCAGCTAAGTGGAGTTTTACATAATGAGCTTTACTGGGAAATAACAGTATTGAACAAAACCATCCTGACCAACCTGTGCTGTATTTAACAAAGGCAAGGATGGGGCTCCTTAAATCTGGTTAAATAACAGCACCACAGGATGTGAAACCACTGGCTCATAAATTATAACTGCTTCAAGCAGTGGTTGAGAGAGATCGTGTGTCGTCAGATTGCCCAACATCTGGTTGAGAATTCTTACTAACAGAGCATTTAATCACATGCTTGACTTAAAATGCATACATTACTACTGTTACTGAATAGGTCTGCCATTCCTTTTTGAGAGTAATGGCAATATATAGCTTGGGCTTGAATCTGCAGAAGTTGCAAACAAAATAGCGTGATGTCTCAGTACAGTTGGGCACTGCTGAGCTCCTCCTCGGATGTGGCTGCAGTGTAAGTGAAGGCTGGATGCTAACAGCTTGTTCCCTTTGGTGGTTCTTGTTACCCTGAAGTTGTGGCTGTTTTCCCTTTATTCAGAGAACCTGGGAGATGTCTGTGTACCAGAGCTTTAAACAGAATATCCTATGGGGACATCTCACATCCGGAGAGGCTAGGTGTTTCTCATCCTCTGCCATTCCTCACTGCTAAGTTTGGGGATGAGCAGTGGTTAAATGTAGAATTTCTTTAAATGATGAAATGCAGTTGTAACTCTATGGAAGCACTTAAAAGAACAGCTTTCATTTCGAAGCCATTAGCAATGTAGTTCATGTTCTGAATATTAAAATAAGACACATTTAGAAGTGGGTTTGTTGTTCAGAAGGTGCCTGCTACTGAAATGGTGGTTCAGAACGTTAGAAGTCAATTACAAGTCAATCTGATGTGTGAGAATGGGTTGGCCTCGGCTCCCATAGTGAAACAGTTGTCTTCATTCTGAACCTTGCAAGCTAAGCAAGGGCATTTGTTCAAGAAATAAGGTTCCTGTAGGAAACCCAGGCCTGTAGTGCTTGCTGGTTAGCAGCTAATTAAACATTTTTATGTGCAGCAGATGCTGCATGGCGTCAAAGCCTCCCAACCTTTAAACTGCCTGTCATGCTGCCCCTGGACCGGTCCTTCCCATTGCAGGTGTTACTGTACAGTTTGTAACCTGAACTGGCCACGTCTGTCTTGCGTGGCTGAAATACCCATTGCATATCTTGATTTGGCTTTATGAACTTGCTTTGTGTATAGCAATGTCACGGGTCATTTCTTGCTCTTTGGAGAGAGTTTTGCAAATCCCAGTTTAATAGTTCCTAGTTTGCTCCATCTGTTGACACGCTGCCAGCATTCAAGTCTCCGCAGTAAATCTTTTGTGGGACATAAGAAAGTCCTTCCTCATCATCCATATAGGCTGAAATCTTAAACTGTGTTCTGTAAATCATTTATCTCTGTGCTTTTTAAAGAGTGGCCTACCTTTCCCCTTGAGGCCATTGGTCTTGAATGTATTTATTTTTCTGGCAGAGCGCCATGAATGAATCATGGCCTGGAGCAGCTTACGGTCTGAACTCCTCTCTATTGTTAACCTAAAATACTTCATGCAGTTGTTACAGCGTTTCGCTATGTAAAACTTTTAATAGAAGAGAGATTGATTTCAGACTTGTTAGTTGCTTTTGAAGTTCCTTGGCACTATGTGGAAATGATTTCTTATGGTCATACAGCTGTAGTCCTCTAAAACAACTAGTGATTGTTGCACGGGAAGTTAGTACATGGGAATATGTTACCAACTCTTTGTTGTAATGAGGTGTGTTTGTCCTTTTCACAACAAATAGTCACTTTAGCTTTTCATTCCATTTGTACTTTTCCTGTTTATGCCTTCCTGCTTCATTTCCATATTGCTTTATTGTTTTATTGTTTCTCTTCTTAACTCTCAAGTCTTTCATTCTGTTCTTCAGACATTCCTCTCTTCTGGTTCGCCTGTTCTATCATGGATATTGTTTCATGCTCCATTCCCTTTTTTCCTGTGTAACAGTGCTTTCATTAAAGGCAACCAGGCAGATGATTTATTTCTTGATGTCTTAAAAGGCTTCTTTGTAATGAAGAGCCTGGACCTAATCAAACTACTAAGGATTTCCATAGGTGAGTCAGCAGCATGGGCCTCGCTGGCTCTGAGGGCAGCAGTGCCAGTGGAGTATGTAACTCATACTTCAGAGGGAATAAACCAGATGACACAGGATGAATGGGAAATCAAGGTTTGACTGGATACATAACCACAGATTCTGGTTTCCAATTCTCTTTACAGTCTAATCTCAGTACTGTGTCCCTTTATTAACTCTCCTACCATTGTGAGCAGCCCATTTGGCTGCTGCTACACTTATGATCTGGGGAGTGCATGAAGCTACCACCCAGGATGCTGACTTCCTCTGTCAACATGCGTAAGGTGTGTTCCTTATCACTTGCTCATTTCCCCTTTTTCCAAGTATTTGAGCATTGAGTTCCTCCAGATGGCTGCTATGTGACCCTTCAGTATCAGCTCCATTGAATACACTAGACTTAGTTTCAAATGTAGAGGTTGTATTTCTCACCTGTGCTTCAGTAAGGTTTCTCTTTAGATTTGCTTGACCTTCAGTGTCAGTGAATTTGGTGAACAGATGGAGAGCAACAGCTGCAGCCTTATCATAAATGAGGTGCCTCTAGGTTTGGCTGAAAAAGTGCAATCCCTTCCTGTTGCAGAGCTGGACTTTACAGTATCCCACAGCTTCCTGATGTTTGCAACAAACACCTTTGCCAAACTGGGAAGAGAAGGATGGAGCTAGATGCCAGTATTGCTGGGTGGCTTATGGAACTGAACTGTAGGGTCCATGTTCTTTAAATCCATGGAGGTGGTAATGCTAGAGCCTGTTCTGACTTGGGAAACTGTAGAGTAAACATAGCACTTGGTGCCTGTCCAGTCGAGGGGGACCCAAGCAGGGTGGTGACTCATGCCTTTTCCCAGCAATTACTTTAAAAATAGAATTGAAATTGAAATATGCATTGCAGGTCAGGATGTCAGGTCAGTGTGTGTGATAGTTTTTCATGGGTAAGGTGCTGACAGAGGACAAAGCATTCTTCATTTTCAAATTCACTTCTGCTGGCCACGTAGTCTGAATGTGTGGA